TTGCATTATCCATATGTGTTGTAATTCACAACCACTGACGTCATCTCATCACAGAAGGGATTCCTCTTGCATTGCACTGTGGCTTAGTGGAACAGCCCATGGTTAGAAAGCAAGTGAGACAGGCCCAAGGTCAGCTTAGGAGCTTGTCCTGACTTGGGTAGGGGCTCTGCCTCTCTGTGCCTCTCTTTCTTCACCTCTCACTTTGGATGGCTGGGTGGGTACCTCTGTGCTCTCCTCCCTCATATTCTATGCTTTTATATAATTCTTTCCTACAAACAGCAATCTTATGTTATATGCAGTAAAAATGAGAGTGAATTTTTAAAAAATCCTTTAAAGCCTCTCCTAAGAATTAACTAGGGAAACATAGGATCGGTAAAATGTTTAAAACTAATCTGAAAGTGAAATTAGGAAGACAATTCCATTTATAGTAACATAAAAAAGAGTAAACTTTTTAGGAACAAATTTAACTGAAGAAGTGCAAAAATCATTCTCTGAAAACTACTAAACATTGTTGAAAGAAATTTTTAAAAGCCTAAATAAATGGAAAGACATCTGTGTTCATGTATCTGAAGACATAGGATGTAAATAGTATCTATATTGATTTGCAGATTCAACATAATCCCTATCAAAATCCCAGCTGGCATTTTTGCAAAATTCCACAACCTAGTCCCAAAATCCAGACAGAAATTCAAGGTACAGAGGATAGTTAAGACAATTTTTAAAAAGAATACAGTTGGAAAGCTCATACTTAACTGATTTTAAAACTTACTGCAAAGCTACAGTAGTCAAGACAGTGTGGTACTGGCTTAAGGATAGACATAAAGATCAATGGAATAGAATCAAAGTCAGAAATCATCCTTCACATTTATGATCAATTTATTTTTATGATAAAGGTGCCAAGACAATTCAGTGGGGAAAGAATAACCTCAACAAATAATACTGAAACAGCTGGACATCCACATGCAGATGAAGTTGGACTCTTTCCACTCTATTCACAAAAACTTACTGAAAATGGATCAAAAATCCAAATGTAAGAACAAAAATTATAAAATTTACCAAAGAAAATATAGGGGTAAATCTTCATTACCTTGAGTTAACAAATCCTTCTTGGATATGACACCAAAAACACACACTCCAAATGTAAAAATAGACAATTGGACTTCATCAAAATTAAAAAGTTCTTTGCTTCTTTCAGAGTTGTCTAGAGACTTAAAAGTAAAAAAAATAATAAAAAAAAAAAGTTCTTTGCTTCAAAGGGCACTATCAAGAAAGTAAAAAGACAACCTACAGAATGAGAGAAAATATTTGCAAATTATATATCTGAAGGGACTCGAATCCAGAATATATAAAGATCTCCTAGAACTCTATAAAAAAGACAAGTAACCCAATTTTAAAAATAGGCAAAGGATCTGAATAGACATTTCTCCAAAGAAGATATACAAATAGCCTGTAAGGATATGGAAAGATAGATGCTCCATATCATTAGTTATCAGACAAATGCAAGTCAAAACCACAATGAGATGCCACTAGGTGCCCATGAGGATGACTGCCGTCAAACAGACCATAGCAAGTGTTGGGGAGGATATGCAGAAATTGGAACTCTCTTTCATGGCTTGTAGAAATGTAAAATGGTGTGCGGTCACTTTGGAAAACTGTCTACAGTTCTTCAGTAGATTAACCATGGAGTTACCACATGATCCAGTAATTCCACCTCTATGTATGTACCCCAAAGAAATTAAATCATGGCCACACAAATACTTGTACATGAATGTTTAGCATTATTCACAATAACCAAAAGGTAGAAACAACCCCAATGTTCATCTGCTGATGAATGGATACATAAAATGTGGTATATCCATGTAACAGAACATTATCTGGCTATAAAAAAAGGAATGATATACTGATTCAAGCTACAACGTGGATGAACCTTGTAAACGTTATGCTAAGTGAAAGAAGCCAGTCACAGAATACCAGATGTTATATGATTCCATTTATATGATGTATCTGGAATAGGCGAATCTACAGAGATAAAAAGTAGATTAGTAGTTGCCTAGGGTTACAGAGTTTTGGCAGAAATGAGTGGCTGCTGTAGGGTACAGGGTTTCTTTTTTGGGGTGATTAAAATGTTCTAAAGTTGATTGTGGTGATGGCTGTACAACTCTATAAATATACTAAAAGATATTGAAATGTATACTTTGGTATGGTATGTGAATTATATCTCAATATAGCTGTTCTAAATAATAACTGTTAAAATTAAATTTTAAGTACTAGAAATTTTCATTAATTTGTCTAGTTGTCCGAGAACTTTTGAATGCAGATAAGAAGGGATGCATACTTATAGCATGACATTATAGTTCCAATAATGTAATAGCCTAGGCTTTGCAGTAACATAAATCTTGACTTGAAACCTATTTTAGAATGGCCAGTTTACATAGCTTCTCTGAACCTCAGGTTCTTCATGTACAAAATGGCAGTAGTAATATTGATAGTTGTTAGCCCATGGATTGCTTTGAAAATTAAGTGTTATCCCACCTAAAGATCTTAGCACAGTGCTAACAGGGATAGCCATCATAGGACGTGCCATAATCATAGTAAGGTTGTGGTAAGGATTAAATGAGAAAGGCTGTTCTATAACTTTGCACTTGCTGCTCCTTCTGCCTGGGCTACCATCCTGTTTCACATCTTGAGTAATGCCTTCATGCCCTCACTATTAGATTCAATCTAGTGGTCATTTTTCAGGTGCTATGTCCAGCTACCACGATATGGGCCCCACTCTTTCCTTCCTTGCAAACCAGTCATTTTGCTGGGTTCAGCACTGGGCTATGGGCCCGTCTGGCCCTCTGTGTGATACCTGGGAGCCCGAGCTGCTGCTTCACTCCTTGGTCCCCAACACCTGGCTCAGTGCTTGGTGCTTGGCAGGTGCTCGGTTAATACTGGGTGAAAAAATAATGAATTATTTAAACAAGCTATAGGATTTATTGGACTTCTAAACATTAGATTACTGGTGAATAGGTTAATCTGAATTATTTTGTGTTGGGAACTCATCTAATAATTTGGCACCACTGCTGTACTAGTTTACCTATTATAGTTTGGGATGGTAGGATAGTCCTGAAGTTACAATAAAGATAAACATCAAAAAACCTAAATTTAATTATATATTTACATTTAATTGTTACAAGTCAACAGAAATTGGAAAATTAAAATTTTACTAATTAGTCATAGATTTAGAAGAATCGTATCTAATAAGTATTTTTTCATTTTGAAGGGCTCTTTTTAGAAGTATTTCTGTAATGTTTTATAAACTTATGTGGAAAGTTGAAACTTTAGATTTCTTAATGTACCCTGTGAATTGATAAGGGAAATTAAAATTTGGATTTCCATAGTAGACTCATTGTATTTTTTCATGACATGGCATTGGTATAAATGTTATACTGATTCTGTGTATTATGTGAATACAATACGTATTTAAACTTTCGCTAGGTCATATTCTTGCCAAGATTTAGAAAACCTGTGTCCTCTTTATTCTTGTGTCAGTACTCTATAAGCCAAAAGCTTTCATCGTCACACTGTCTCCCTACTTCATTTGCAAAAGAACCAAGGTAAAGTTATTGATATATGATAAATTATAATATTAATGTATCTAAACTACATGAAGCTATTCTTAATGAGCTCATAAATGTATATTGCCTTGAGAATTTGGCATGGAATGGTGTTCTTAGATATCCTTACCTAGGTATAGGGGCTTGAATAAAATTATCTCAGAAGTACCTTTTAATTTTGTGATCTTATAAAAGTAGATAGAAGCTTTCATTAAAGACCTGAGAATATCAAAACAATATCTGTACTTTCTTCAGTGTATGGTACCTCTCATCCAATCATTTCAAAATATTTATACAACATTCAAGAGCCATTTCTGTAGATAACACTTTAATGAAGGTAGAAGGTGGCTTTGCAGTAAGTATAGCATTGCAAAAGAGAAACTTTTGACTGGGAGCCGTGTCATATTTTTACTTGGATGGCTATGTAGGTTTCTAAATAAGAGTGATCACCACTTATTTTAAGAGAAAGCCAGCTCAAATAAATTCCTTTTTTTGTTTCCTTTAACTAGTTATACCCAGTAAACTAAGCTACTTTCTCCCCTCTCCCCATGAGCCCCAAAACAGTTTTATTAATAGGAATCTATGAATCCTAGCACTTTGGGAGGCCAAGGCGGGATGATTGCTTGAGCTCAGGAGTTAGAGACCAGCCTGAGCAAGAGCGAGACCCCATCTCTACTATAAATAGAAAGAAATTAGCCAAACAACTAAAAATAGAAAAAATTAGCTAGGCGTGGTGGCATGTGCCTATAGTCCCAGCTACTTGGGAGGCTGAGGCAGGAGGATCGCTTGAGCCCAGGAGTTTGAGGTTGCTGTGAGCTAGGCTGACACCACAGCACTCTAGCCCGGACAACAGAAATCTATGATGTTTGTGTTCTCAAAAAAAAAATCAGGGTGGTCTTAGATGTCTGTCGTCCATTCCAACATTTCCCTTTATACAGCCCTTTCGAATATTCTATTTAAAAACTGGCATTCTGATAGCTTTTCTTTGGCCTGTGTTACATATTGAAGCGGCAAATTGGGAATGTTAAGACGTCCTCCAGAGACAAATATCTGTTATGAAAGTAGAGCTGATGTGACACTTAGAACTAGAGGAGCTTCACTTGTCTCAATGACAGTTAGTGATCTTTCTTTTATTATTTTATTTATTTATTTATTTTTTGAGACAGAATCTCACTCTTTCACCCTGGCTAGAGTGCTGTGGTGTCAGCCTAGCTCACAGCAACCTCGAACTCCTGGGCTCAAGCGATCCTCCTGCCTCAGTCTCCCAACTTGTATTATTTTAAATGGGGGGGGGGGCACGCAAGAAATGACCAGAGGCTGAGACTGAGATTGGGTGTGGTTTACCAAACCATTAAATGTCAAATGTACTCCACTGATAATATATCTTTTGCCTCTTTTTAGGAGCTAATTTTGTTACTCGAAAAATTAGCCGGTCAGTAGCTAAGATTTACCTTGGGCAACTGGAATGCTTCAGTTTGGGAAACCTGGATGCCAAAAGAGATTGGGGCCATGCCAAGGACTATGTGGAGGTAGGAACTGACTCATTACATTCTTTAATGCACCTATATTTGTTGATGTTTTCAGTGCTGGGACTACAGTGTGTGACTACTGAGAGGTGGGACACACGCCTGTGCTGATGCAGGCGTTGGAACTCATACTGCTTTGAATTAAGGCTTGATGGTTTAGGAGCACATGTAGCTTACACTGAATGTTACTGGATAAAGAAACTTTCACAAATATTCTTTTATTTTTTAAAAACAAAAATGTTGGTCAGTGCTGTGGATGATGGTAGATGGAAGGAAGTTTGAGTGATGCTCCTCCTTCCTCCCTAAAGCTTCTTACCACTCACCCCCTTTCACCTTCTCCCTTGTCCCTCCCTGATACACACATGACTAACTGAAAGAATTTGGGGGCTATAAAAGTATTAGTTCTCAGATATTTAAGAAATACTACCCAATTTCAATTTATGTAACCCAAGTCCTTTGGGTTTATATTATTCTACTAAATTCTACCAGGAGTAGTGTTCTTTTGGAACTCTTGCTTTCTGGCACCACAGAGTCTGGTTAATACACTACATTCTTCTTAACGTGTTACATTGCACACTGATGAGAGACAGACAGACAGACAGACAAATGTTAATAATGATACTATTGCAGAATAATGGATAGAATTAAAAGGAAATTTAGATTTTCATTCTTGGGATTCCTATACCCATTAAGTTTTGGTTTTGGTTACATATATATGTATACAAGTAGTATGATTTTTATAGATAAATGATTACATTTTACTTTCCCTGATCAGCATGTTTTTATTTTCAATCTTTATTTTTTTAATTTTAATCAATTTATTTTCTTTTTTTAAAAATTTTAGAATATTATGGAGGTACAAACATTTTGTTTACATATATTGCCTTTGCATCGCCCAAGCCAGAGCTACAAGCGTGCCCATACCCCAGACAGTGCACTGCACACCCATTAGTTATGAATTTACCCATCCCCTCGACCCCCTATCTGCCTGGCACCTGATGAATGTTGCTACCATATGAGCACCTATGTGCTGATCAGTTAATACCAATTTGATGGCAAGTACATGTGGTGCTTGTTTTTCCATTCTTGTGATACTTTACTTCAAAGAATGGGCTCCAGCTCCACCCAGGATAATATGAGGTGCTAGTTGACCATTGTTTTTTATGGTTGAGTAGTAGTCCATGGTATACATATACCACATTTTATTAATCCACTCATGTATCGATGGACACTTGGGTTGTTTCCACATCTTCGCAACTGTGAATTGTGTTGCCATAAACATATGAGCGCAGATGTCTTTATTATAAAATGGCTTTTTTTATCGGGTGTTGGGCAGGTGGGAGGGGGGAGGAAGGGATAGATATATACAAACATAATGAGTGAGATGTGCAACGTCTGGGGGATGGTCATGCTTAAAGCTCTGACTCGAGGGGGAGGGGGATATGGGCACTATACGTAACCTTAACATTTGTACCCCCATAATATGCTGAAATTTAAAAAATGGCTTTTTTTCCTTTGAGTAGATGCCTAGTAGTGCTGGATCAAATGGTGTTTCTATTTTTAGTTCTTTGAGATATCTCTAAATTACATTCTACAGGGGTTGTACTATTTTGCAGTCCCACCAGCAGTGTAAGTGTTCCTATGTCTATGCATCCACACCAGCATTTGTTGTTTTGGGACTTTTTAACAAAGGCCAATCTCACTGGAGTTAAGTGATAGCTCATTGTGGTTTTAATTTGCATTTTCCTAATGGTTAGAGATGGTGAGCACTTTTTTATATGTTTGCTGGCCATTATTCTGTCTTCTTTTGCAAAGTTTCTGTTCAGGTCCTTTGTCCACTTTTTAATGGGGTGGTTTGATTTTTTTCTTGTTAATTTTCTTAAGTTCTATGTAGATTCTCCTTCTGTGGCCAAGCATGAAAGAGCATGGTAGTGATGTCCTTTTTCCTGGTATTGTCTGTCCTTGTTCAGGTGCTCACAAATTTCCTGTGCTTAGACAACTATTTCTGTCCTGAATAATTCCTCGATGGGAAACCGAATCTGTTTCCTTGGATCTGGCTTCCTTGTTCAACCATGTGATTCAAAAAGAAACTTGAACATTTAGAAAAGAAAGCAAATAAATTCTCTTGCTAATGCAGGGGTTAGCTTCACTTGTGATTTTATATTTGTTTATAACAATTAAAAATGTATGTGTACTTGAGCATTTAATACTGATTTATATTATGGACAAAAAAGTTCTGATTTTAAATTTTGAACAGTACAGCATTTAGATCTTTTAAATATGTCCTTCTAACCTATAATGACAAAGAAGCAAATTTTATGGCAGCAGTTATATTTTAACAATATTACATCAAAAAAATGTAGGTCCACACTTGTGGAAATTACAAGAGAATAAGAGAAAGGAAATGTTGGCAGGAAAAGCTGAAACTTTCTTTTCTCTAACCTAATAGCCGTTCCTACTGCAAAATATGAGGCAAGTTTTGTGAAAATAAATACATTGTTTTTTCAAGACTATCATTTTGTTGTATGGCCTTTCAGCTATCTGCATATACTTAGAGCTGTATAGTGAGCTATGTCGGTACTCCTCTCTCTTTCCAAACTCTTCGCCAGATTCCAGAACCAAGTAGATTAAGTTTCTTTTTTTTTTTTTTTTTTTTTTTTTTTTTTGCACTTAGGTGAAAAAGAACTTTGTATTGGAATTCAGAAATCAAATAGATTTTGATTGTGGAGAAATACTGTACCAAAATGTTGATAGATTTTTTCACTTTTATTTTATTCTTTATACTGTCATATTTTCCATGTATTAAAATAGACCTTTGCAATGGGGGTGGGGAGAATGACATTTTAAAAATAGACCCCCAAAAATCTAACGAAAAGAGTGAGGCTGTTAGGTAATGTGAAAGTCTTTTGTGAACCAATGGATCTGAAAGAAAGCCTGGCTTCTCACTTCTCAAATGCCCAGGCTGGCATTGCTGCAGGGTGTGTACAGATCTTGACACAAAGGGCCCACATTTGAATTCATATAAAATAAAAATATTTTACAAACATTTTGGCTCAAATACTTCAAAAAGGCCATCCCAAATTAAGTCATTTTTACTATTGCTTGACAAGATTATGTCAGTACAGTGTGCCCAGAAGCCAAAATTCCACACAAGAGTAAGACACTCTAGCTTTTTAATAGAAATGTGAAATTGTTAGATTCCATAAAGAGACATGTAGAAAGTTAAGTCATTCTTCTTTGCATCCAAGACTTGATTTGCTCTACAAGACAAGTAAGTGGGTTTTGTGTATTAAGGATTCTCCTGGGGTTCTAATATGTTGATGATGTAAGAAGCATTTTATAGTTCTCATTTATGTGTTCTGAAAGAACTCTCAATTTCTTGATTTCTGAAAAAGTACCATTATTAAGTAAGAATTTATAATTTGCTACTCTCCATTTTAAGAAATATTATCATTCTTTGCAATTTTAAATGTATTAAAATAAGGTTACTTTAGAGATTTATGACTAAAACTAAATTTGTTGCCAAAATTAAAGTCAAGGTCATAAAAATGAAAAAAGAGAGGCATTGTTTATTTAAAACACATCTATCCTGACAGTGTAAGTAGCTTTACAATAAAGATGTTTGCAAATATGGATCAAACAAGCCATAATGGTATCTCATTTATACATGTATTAATTATATTAAATGTAATTCTTCTGATTTGTACACAAAAATATTGGTAAATCTTTAGATTAGGGTACTTATACTTTTTACTTTTAGATGAATTTCCCTAATGAGGAGTAGAGAGCATTTTCTCCTTGTGCTGTGAGGCGGGGTGCAGGTCATCCTAGCTGTGCCAGTGAATTGCTCCTGAGCCTTAGACAAGTTGTTATATCTCAATTTACCCACATGTGAAAAGGACATAATAACAGCGCTGTAAAAAAATAATATTAATGTGCTGTTCATATATGATTAGAGTTTACCTCTGTCTTGTAAACATTTTTACAATAATTTATTCCAAGTCATTTCCTGTTGTTGAATCTGATTCATTAAGATCCATTTACAGTCTTTCTTCCTAGATCAAAATGCTTAAAAAGTTATTTAAATGAGTAAGAAGTATTTCAATGTGAAATGAAAAAATATATAAAAACTATATTAAATTATCTTGTACTTCAGAATAAACAAGTCATAATCAGATTTTTTCCAATGTTTTATTACAAACATTTTTAAACATACAGAATAATTGAATAAATTTAACCATGAATATCCACCACCTAAATTCTATAATTAACATCTACAATTAGTGTTGCATTTTGAAAAATAAGTACTAGTTAAACAATTGCTATAGTGCAAATGGCTCACAGCTGTAAATACTTAATTTACATAAACATAAGTTATCAATCATTTGAGTATCTTATGGGATATAGATACATAGCAATTCAAACTTTTAAAATATTTTCTTCTGAAATATTTTCCTGGTCCCTCCACAACCTGTCTGCATGCCTGCTTCCCTCCACATACACTGGAGCAATGCCCGGTGTTGATGAGAATGCATCGCGGGCACACACACCAGAGTCAAGCAAACTTGAACAGTCAATATTGCAGCAGTGGTGGCTGAAAACAGCAAAGAAGAGAACCTATAACTTCTCAGGGTGACATTGTTCATTCAACATATATTCTTTCGAGCACCTGCCATGGTCACGGTTCCAGTTGCTATAAATGACAGTCTTCTAAGCATTGTCGAAAGCCACATGAGCCTGGAAAATGCTATATTACACAAAGTTAAGCAGATTTCTTCATCACAGGACTGACTTGCCAAAATATATGATATGTGAATGTGTACTATAGCATGATAAGATTGATATAGGGTTTCCCAAACTTATTTGGCCTCGGAATTCTTTGAATGAAAAATTAGTACTAACATCTAGCAGTAAAGAGTTGGAAAATGATGCCATCTGCTTACATAAAATTTATGGTAACAGTCTGGTTAACAAGGTCCTGCTGTGGTCCCACGTTGATAAAAGTATTTGGAACACAATTATAGCCAGAAAATGTTGAGAGATAAGTTAATTAGTAGAGGCTGGGCCAGAAGTATCTTTAAGATTTTACCACGTTCAGAAAGATCCCTTGCTCTTGCGAGACACAGGTAGCCGAGAGACGTTAAGTCCCAGTTTTTTCCAGGACTCAATAAAAGCCATTCATGAGGTAGCAAGAGGTTCTCCTGGCAAGCACGAACCCCACAAATGCTTCTGAAGAGTCCCACAGGCAATCCAGGGAACATTCACTTTTTTAGAGGTGGGCTTGGAAGTTCATCTGAATTTAACAGCGTATTCTCCCACAGTTTTTTGGACAATAAACACAGACTGAATTACAATAAAGCTACTTTTAGAAATAATAATTGCTGAATGTTAGGTGAGGATTTCCTGCCAGAAACTTTTGAGGACTTTGTATGCACTGTCTTTTATAAAAGCCACAAAAATCCTAAAAGATAGACAGTGCCACCTGATTTTATGGGTGAAGGGCCTGAGGATGAGAGAGTTTCAGTTAAATATTTGCTCAAAGCCATGGCCAGTAAAGGTGAATGAAGCAAGAACCCCAGCCCAGGCCCAGCACCTCCACCATACTCATAACCACTGATTTCTGTCAACATGATAGGAGTGCGGATATTAGCAGAAAATCTGGGTAACATTCCACTTCCAGGGAGACAGAAAATTAAGCTTCTCTCCCTTTTCTCTTCCTGTTTTTCATGGTCCAAGGGGAACAGAAACATCTGAAAGACAAGGGTCTGGCTGAGACAGCTGTCAGATCTCCCTAAACCTATGATATTGGCTGTATCAGGCAAAGATGCAAAGAGCGTGGTTGGCGAAAATAGGTAGTTAGATTTCCATCCCCCACTCCGGCCACACACACTCGTATAGAGACCTGGAGAAAGCCAGACGCCTCTGGCAGGGTTTGGAAAGTGTGGTAGACAGAGCTGGGAGAGTTTACCACTGTCTCCCAATACTTTTTCATCTGTCCATTTGCTGCTAGCATTTTGCATCCTGTTTTACACAAATCTGAAAGGAAGAGGTTTTGTTTTAAACTTTCTGAGATCTTATTTAAGGGAAATTTGCTTGTTGCAGCATCACCATCAACAAAGCACTTTGTTGTGTGCAGGAGAGTGGCATATAAAAGCAGTGTCTTTCTGGGTTCCAGTCATCTAAAGTGCTCATGGCTCCAGAGTCGGCTCTTTAGTAAGGGTTTCTTAACAGAAAGAGAAGGTGCTGTTGTATTTATCTCATAAAGTAACGAGGCCAGACACACCAGGACTCTGTCAAGAGCTCTCTGTGTTAACAGTGTCATTCCTACCCTTATTGTGCAGAGGAAGGTGGTACCTGCAGAGAGTTCCCAGGGGAGTTTCCTCTCTATTAGAAAACCTACTCTAATAGAATCTTTGTCAATTGACTGTTGGAATAAGGTCAGTAATAGGATTTCTCCTCACTCCACAAGTGTAATCCCATTTTCTTAACTTAGGAGCCTACAATGTTCTTGCTTGGGAAGAAAATATGTCAGCGGCCTGCTTATTGAATGTGTTGTAACACTCAGTGTGATTTTATTTTGATAATAAATAGTGATATTTTATTTTGACTTTTTATGTTGACTGGTGAGGTATTGACAGTGTTTTCTGCTGCAGGGAAAAATCTTCTAACCTTCTTGGGGGGAATTTTATATAGTCTTTAAAAAATATTCTGAGAAAAAAAATAACAATAACTGAGTAGTTTCTCCTTTATCTGTGTTTAGAAGAACATGGTTTCTGTGTTGTTTCTAATAAACCAAACATTTATAGAAAGGAACTCAAGGGACTAGCCTAAGAAAGAAAAAGAAAGAACAGTCTTATTTGTAGGGAAAGAAAAGCTTATAACAATTTCCTACATCTTTGAAACCTAAAATGTTTAGACTGTTCAACTATTCCTGTTCCAAAAGAGTGTAGTATTTATACTAAAGTGAAGAAAAATCCCATTTCCTTGGTCTGGCTGTGGAAAACTCTATATAACAAATTCAACTTGCCATTTCCCTATTTTTTCTTCATTCTGTCATCTATGGTTGTGCTTTTAAATGTTTTACAGAAGACTTTTAAGTTTTCAGTGTGTTATAGAAAATCAGCTAAGAAAAATGCAGAAGGTCACAGTTGCCTGGCCAGTTTTATCTGGCCAGGTCTTGCTTGGTTGGAATGATACCACAGTAGTGATCATGCTCCCAGATCAGAAACTGTATTCCCTGTTTAAATTGTTTTCTTAAAGAAAGATGCCTATACTATCCATATTTCTAGGATGGATTATTCATCAAGTTTTTGTCCACAGATAACTTAGAAATATGAGAGTTGGTGCATTTTTAGATCACATTTTCAGTTTGATTTGAAACATACAAAATTAAAGTTCTAACATTAAATTAGGAAATCAGTTCTTGTGTGTGTGTGTGTGGAGAGAGAGACAGGATGAAAATGCATGTAGAATAGAGTCAGCACAATGCCTGTGGACATGGATTATGAAACTTTGTATAAATGCCATTTATGTTCTAATGGGTAGCAATTAACCATATTAAGGTGGAAGCTTATACTCCACCCTTTGGTGACTCCCATTGATGTGAAGTGTCATCATACCATTGTGGATCATGAAGTGACCCTTTGTACCTAAGAAAATCATGGGGCTCATACTGAGAACAAACATCCTAGGAAAACAGTATAAGAAGGTTCTTTTCACACTCACTTTTATGAGCACCAAATACATGAGGTTTTTTAAGCTTTCTTCACCCACCCACCCCAGTCGGCCTGTGCTCCTCCTGGCTAGCAAAGTCATTCTGTCCCTCCTGCCCCTCCTCTCTCCCCACCCTGCTCCTCAGCTGTTTCCTCCTTCACTAGTGTTTCCCACTTCATGGCACTTTCCACCCACAAATGAAAACTGACTATTTAATAACAAGACTATTCATATCATATAGATGTAATTGCCTCTTATAAAATATGACATCACCTAAATATGGTGATGATTTTGGTTGTAGAAGGTATAGATCTTTAATATTCAAAGCTTCATCTTTATGCTGCTGTACTCTGGAAAGGGCAAAAGGTGTTTTCAATCAAAGCAGTCTTTCTTATTTTATGTCCTTTATGCATACTAACACCATAAATCTCTCTGTCAAACACACATAGTCACACACACAACAAGCTAGAAATCAAAGAAATGCATTCTAAAATCCTATTTGGCTTTATCCTACTTATCGGCTACCACAAAACAAAAAACCTTCTCCAAGTTGAATGTTCCTTAAAAAAGAAACCCACCCATTTCATTTTCTCCCTGTGTACTCCACGCTAGAAAACATCTCGTTTGCTTGTGCTCTGGGAAGGAATCAAAGCAATAAAGCCATAAAGATTCTCCTTATCCTTTTTTCCTAAGTAAAGAAAAAAGTTTGATCACTCCTGTGAATGTTCAGTAGAGCCAATTTGATTCTGAAATCTCTGTGATTTGCTGAGGTGACTGTTTGGTAGCCTCAGACTGCAAGGGTGAGACTAGAAAACATGGAGTAGAAATTATAGGAAATGGAATCAATATTTTGCAGATATAAGATGTTTGACACTTTAACTTGCTAGTGAAATAACTTAAAAATAGGCCAATGAATTTGTTCCATGTCCTCCTACTCTATGCCTTACTGAAGTTAAAGAATATTCAAAACCCACTGTCCTTTTACAATGAAATTTCCAAATTGCTTTGGCTTATTAAAGTTGCTTCCAAAACTGTGGATGTATTATACTTGCAAGCTAAATATGCCTCAAGCAGATGAATTTGGGGTACAATTAAGTGAAGGTCCCCTTTTCCTTTTAGTAAAGAAAAACAATCAGACATCTACTAAATCCAGTTAATTCACATGTACAGTTTAACAGAAGCAGAATTACCTAAAGGTAACATTGAGAAATCCTTTGAGAAACTGTCCTTGCATTGTTCATTTAAGTCTTAATTGCAAATTATTAGTAAGTTCTCAAAGAAATGAAATTTAGGATACCTTCCCCAAGTATCTCTTAGAGTTATGTAATATACTTGAGATAACTTTTGCTGTTTTTTCTCATACTGTAGAGAGAATGGTTGAGCTTCTCTCTATAAAGAAGCGAGTGAGGCCTCTGACGATATAAAGTCTGTCACCCACTACCATACGATAGAACTTTGTGTTGGTCTCTATCTGTGTAGTCAGGACTTGGATTTTAATCCTTTTTTTAAAATTTCAGAATATTATGGGGGTACAAACATTTTAGTTACATATAAGCCAGAACTACAAGCATGCCCTTCCCCCATGCAGTGCACTCCATACCCATTAGTTGTGAGTTTTCCCATCCCCACCACCTGCCCAGTACCCAATGAGTATTACTTCAATGTGAGCACCTAAGTGTTGATCAGTTAATACCAATTTGACAAGAAGTACGTGTGGTGCTTTTTTTCCCCATTCTTGTGATACTTCACTTTGAAGGATGGGCTCCAGTTCTATCCAGGATAATACCAGAGGTGCTAGATCACCATTGTTTCTTTTGCCTGAGTAGAACTCCATGGTATCCATATACCACATTTTATTAATCCCTCATGTATTGATGGGCACTTGGGTTGGTTCCACACCTTTGCAATTGTGAATTTTGCTACTATAAATATTCAGGTGCAGATGTCTTTTTTATAGAATGTCTTTTTTTCCTTTGGGTAGATGCCTAGTAGTGGGATTGCTAGATCAAATGGTATTTCTATTTTTAGTTCTTTGAGATATCTCCAAATTGCTTTCCACAGGAGTTGTACTTACTTGTAGTCCCACCAGTAGTGTAAAAGTGTTCCTGTCTCTCTGCATTTGTTGTTTTGGGACTTTTTGATAAAGGTCATTCTCACTGGAGATAAGTGATATCTCATTGTGAGTTTGATTTGCATTTCCCTGATGATTAAAGGTGTTGAGCACTTTTTTATATGTTTGCTGGCCATTATTCTGTCTTCTTTTGCAAAGTTTCTGTTCATGTTCTGTGCCCACTTTTTAATGGGGTTGTTTGATTTTTTTTCTTGTTAATTTTCTTAAATTCTATATAGATTTTTGTTATCAGCCCTTTATTGGATGTGTAGCATGCAAATATTTTCTCCCATTCTGTGGGTTGTCTATTTGCTATAATCATAGTTTCTATGGCTGTGCAGAAACTTTTTAATTTGATCAGGTCCCATTTATTTATTTTTGTTGCTGCTATGATTGCTTTGGGTGTCCTCTTCAAAGAGTCTTTGCCTAGGCCAATGTCTATAAGAGTTTTCCCAACATTTTCTTCCAGAATTCTTAAGGTTTCACACCTTAGGTTTGACAAAATCCAGCACACTTTTATGATAAGAACTCTTAACAAAATAGGCAGAGATGGGTACTAGTTTAAAATTATTAAAGCCATACATATACGATAAACCCATAGCCAGTATCATACTAAATGGGTGAAAATTGAAAGCATTCCCACTTAGAACTGAAACCAGACAGGATTGCCCACTATTTCCACTTCTATTCAACATAGTGCTGGAAGTCCTTGCCAGAGCAATCAGATAAGAGAAGGGAATTAAAGGTGTCCAGATGGGGGTATAAGAGGTCAAACTCTCACTCTGTGCTGGTGATATGATACTGTATCTAGAAAATCCCAAGGAATCAACCAAAACTCCTGGATCTGATAAACAAATTCAGTAAAGTCTCAGGATACAAAATCAATGCTCAAAAATTAGTGGCATTCATATATGCCAATAACACTCAAGCTGAAAATCAAATAAAGATGCAACACCTTTCACAATAGCATCAAAGAAAATTAAATATTGAGGAATATATTTAACGAAGGAGGTGAGAGACCTATAGAGGGAGAACTACGAAACACTGAGAAAAATTGTAGCAGATATAAACCCCTACCATGCTCATGGATTGGCAGAATCAATATTGTAAAATGTCTATACTGCCTAAAGTGATTTACAGAATGAATGCAGTCCCTATCAAAATACTATCATCATTCTTTACAGATCCAGAAAAAAAATTCTTTGCTTTGTATGGAACCAGAGAAGACTTCATATAGACAAAGCAATCTTAAGCAAAAAGCACAAATTGGGAGGCATCAGTCTACCAGACTTCAAGCTTTACTACAAGGCTATGGTAACCAACATAGCATGGTACTTGCACAAGCACAGAGATAGAGACTTTTGGAATAGGACAGAGAACCCAAATATAAAACGATCCTCATATTGTCATCTAATCTTTGACAAAGCAGACAAAACATATACTGGGGAAAAGAATCTCTATTCAATAAGTGGTGCTGTGAAAACTGGATAGCCACATGCAGGAGATTGAAACTGGATCCCCACCTCTTACCTCTCACAAAAATCAACTCATGATGGATAACAGACTTAAACCTAAGGTGTGAAACCTTAAGAATTCTACAAGGAAAATTTCAATCCTCTTTATCTTTAATTGCACCTCCCAACATGCCTGGTACATAACAGATGCCTAGTAAATACTTCAATTGAATCTCCCTATCCAATCATTCTTTATAAAATTTATAAAAATGAAATATGTATATATGCAATGTTTTATTCCTTTTACATGCACAGTTGTAAGTTTCCCAATTATCTCCAGATTCTACTGTTATTAGACCTTATTCTTATTTTTAAAAGAAGAATATTTGAGCAGATAGAAAAATAGACAATGATACACTGGCCCTGG